AAAAAAAAAAAAAAAAAAAAAAAAATAGTCACAGTAGAGGTTACTCCTCGTGCAACTTCCTCTTCCTCTTCCGCAGCACGAAATGTATAAAGCGTCGCGTTGATGATACTCTTGTTTCTTCGAGTTTCTTCGTTATTCCAGATCCAATGAAAAATTTCGTCAATTCCGGATATTCGATAATCGATCTCTCGAAATTTTTATTTCTACATTCTCGTCATTTCGAAACGATCTATTCGTTGAAAAAAAAATTAAACGTTCGATATTTTTGTTGTTCGTGACATTTTATTACGGTCTATTTTTTTTCTTTTTTTCTTTTTTTTGAAAAGAAAAGATAAGATCGTGAAACTTTACCCCAGCCTATAATAAGACACAGCCTCAACTTGATATTGTCGCCCGTGAAAGTCTTTACGACCAACAGGTATAGATAGAGACCTGAAAGAATAAATGTGCGATTAACATAAATGGATGATAAAAATGAATAAATGAACGAATGAAATTTGTAACAGATATTATTCGGAAGAGAAAATGTGAAATCGATTCGAGCGACGTAATAAGTGGATACTCGAGAATTATCGAGAAATCGAAAAGTGTGATTACCTTCGACGAACATCCAGAAGTAATTGGTCAGTTGGAAATAATGAAACAGTGACAGGAAAGCGACGCAAGTCGGTACGTCGGGTTGCATCGAGACCTGGAAAAAGCGATCGTTCGATTCAAAATTCCCGCCAAAATTATTTCGTAAATGCGATTGAATGTTTACGTAAAAAAAAAAAAAAAAAAAAAATTCGAAGAAATTTTGTTGAACATTCCACGTGTATATATTTTATTCTTCATAATGAAAATTTATGTTTCTACTTTAGGGAAAATAATTTAGCATTTTAATTCACTAAACGAAAATATGTTGGATAAAAAATATATCTTTTTTAGAAAAATATGAAGTTTGGTTTTTATTTTTTTTAATTTATATTATTTGAATGAAGTTGTTGAATTACTTTTTTTTTTTAATAAAAAGACGAAAAATTTAATCAATACACTGCATCGTAAAATTATATTTACTTTGTCTTATTTCATTTGTTTTATCTGTTTCAATAATTGATCTAATTATTATTTATTTCATCATGGCCATGACTTTTTTTTTATTTGATCACAATTACTTTATTCTACTATTTTTACTCAATTTCTCGATTGACCATTATTACTTGCCTGACCGATTTAAATTTACTTACTTTTATAAAATATAAGCTGATAAAAAACATTCCTCATTATCGTTATTAATAAGAAATTATTTCGTTACTTTCTTTTTTTTTTTTTAACATCGTTAAAATTCTTGTTAAATTATAAAATCTTTAACACGCGGAATAATTTTTTTTTTTTTTCTCTCTCTCTCTTCACACATCCATCCCGTCTGTTAATTCATGTCACCGAAAGCATAAAAATGGCGGATGGATTGGTAATTAAAAGTGGCCGGTGAATTGAATTTTACACGGAGGCCAATTTCATCGTTCGTATCGGCCTTTTAATTATCGAAAAACCAAAGGCGTATCGGCCATTTCGCCGTAATTAATTTTCCTTTCCACTGGGGCTCGTTACCGCGACTATCAGATGTTTCGCCATCGACGAACAAACATGTTTCCGGTCACGTTGGCAACTAGCTCTCATCGGTCAAGAAAGGGAATCATGTAATTCACCGATAAAATGTAAAGCCCGCCCCTGAAATATCCTTGCAAACTTTATTTTGAAATTTTAAATTTGGAATTTCGAGATCTCGTGAACACTTTCGTATTTTTTCCTTGAATTTTACGTAAAGTAACGTAAAGTTAATTTTCGTTCTAAATTATAAAATAATTATTTTCACGAGCTTTCGCTAAAAATATAAAATTTCTTTCCGATGAATTTATCTCTTTTTAAAGAGAAATCAATTTTGAAACACTGTTATGAAATTTTGTTGATGATACGCAGAAATATCGAAATAGAAAAATGTGATAATAAAATTTCATGTTTTTAAAATATCAAATTGAAAAGAAATCAGGAGAATAAAATAACAGAAGAATGATAAATGGCGAAGAAAATATTTGTCGATATGACAAGGAATAAAATATAGCATACATACGCGAAAATTTCTTTTGTTTAATGTACCTGATATAATGTATTATTTTAAATCGTGAATGTTATTATTGTGTAATTCTCGTTGATAAATCGAATTAGCATAATTAACTCGATGGAGATGTTTCATAACTCATGCATATTTGCTGTTATAACATTTCATGGGTTATTTCAACTTGTTTAATAAAGGAGAATTATATTTTCAAAGAAGGTTTCGTGAATATTATAAAAATTATAAATAAATGAATATAAATAAAGAAGAAAAATACAAATAAATCGTGAATAAGATATTTTATTTTTTGCTTCAAATTATTCATTATAACTTTCAGAGTGGTCAATTTATCATTTATTTGAATTTCACGGAAAATTTAAATTATCGGTCATTTTTTTTTTAAGAGATTCTATTCTAGTTTTACATTTCAGCAACAAGTGGTAGCAAATTCTCTTTGTACTGTATCAAATAAATATCTTGCATATTTTTATTTTCTTTGATTCCTTTTCACAAACATTGATGCATGATATATATTTTTCAGCGAATAATTGTATTTTATTGTAGAAGAGAGAATTTTAATTTTAAAATTTCAAACGAACAGAAAGAGAGAATGAGAGAGAGAGAAAGAGAAAAAGAGAAAAGTTTTATAAGATTTCAAAATTAAATTCTTTCATGGAAAAATTTTCTAACTGGATTAACCTGATTTTTATGTCATAACGTAATTTTAACATATTTACATTTTATATTATCATTTCGTCACTAAAATGAAGCAAAATGAAGAAAAGCAAAATTCCTATTTATTTATTTTTAATTCGACTTCTTGAAAATTTTTAACATCAAGTGATAAATTGCTTATTTTTTTTTTTTTTTCGAAAGAAATTACAAATGCATTAAGGAATTATCCATTAAAAAAACATAGCATTTTCTATGAAAGTACCTGCATCACGTTGTTTAGAATCCACATAAAGTCTGCGAGGATGTAGGTGAACATCAAGTTTGTGTGTATGTTGTTCCTAATGCACCTGAGTTCCCTGGAAAAGAATTAAAGTGATTGTTAATTAATTTGAAACTGGGGGAAAAAAATTAAGCGAGACAAGTAGTACAAACAGTCATCAAGCAACTAAAAATGTAGATAAAATAATTAAGAAACTTACTTAATAAATTAAATAAATCATTTTAAAATTTAATAAATCATTAGACTAGTAGAAAAGATCAATGTATGAGCTTTAGTATCTCACTTGTGATTGATCGATACTACTTTTCCGACTTATACTACTCGGTTGACTGTAACGTGTCTGTTCTACTTGCTCGATCAATAATTAATCTATACTACTTGACTCATGATTTTTTTCTAGAGATCTTTTATCTAGATTTTTTTTTTCGGAAAAATAATTTAATTAGATAAAAATGTTTCTTTATATCCAATTGATCATTGATTAATATTTTATATTGAAATAATAAAATAATTTTTTAACAAAAAATAATGATAACAGTTTCATACGGATTGTAACGAAAAAATTCGTAACAAAAGAGAATTGGTTCTACAAAGTAGAAACAGGTTTTGTATATTCAGAAATCCTTTGTAATCAGTGCACCCAGTGGAAACTAACAAATATAAATCATAGCAACCCTTTACAAGTAGAACAATTTTAAGCAAATCTGATTCTACATGTTGTGCAATAAACTCAATTAGAACTAGTTCCACGGTTCCAGAACAAAATGATTGTTTGAGTAATAATAAAATACATTTTTTTTTAAAGTGGTCTTTTTTTATGAATAATTTTCGTATGTTATGCCAAATATTATTTTTCGTTCACTTTTTTTTTAAATAATTCAATTTTACAAATCCTAAAAATAATAAGATTTTTAAATTAAATTTATCTTTATCGTATTTTTCCAATTCCAAATAAATAATAGAATTTTTATTTTCGAAACTTGATAAAAAAAAAAAATTCTCTGTTATACATTCAATTGAAATTCTTCTCCTTCTCTCATCAAATCACGTCTTTTTTTTTTATAAAAAAAAAAACCACTATTCATTTTTGCAAAAATTCAATTTAATAGCAAAGTTAGTCTTGTAACACAACATTTCATTATAGTTTTCTAAACTATAATTTTATTACTACAATACAGAGTAGGAAAAATTATTTTTCATTGCGTGATATTAAAGTTTGCATTGCGTTTATGACTTTAGTGAACGAGAAAACTTTGAGAATAGCTGTGTAAACGTTTTTTCACGTATAAAAATATAAAATATAAAAATATCCACGTATAAATTATATTCAATTCGATTCAAGGAACACCGTGAAAAAGAACACGGATATTCGAACGCAATAGCATTCCTCGATTTCTACTTTCCTTTCATTTAAGTGGATCGTTTTCAACACAGAGTTGATACAAAGGCACGCAATTTACTTGTTTAAAGGGACGATTGTTTATTCCAGCCAAAGGAAAAACGAGAGGAAATAGAGAAAAACATTATTCCGTGCGTAAAAATATATCGAAGAGGGAGAAATTGACTTTTACCTTTGGATTTCTTAACATTCGAGATCTTCCCTCCCCCTTGTTATTGTTATTCGTAATTTTCGATTTTAATTAACAAGATTTTTCATTATTCAAATTTTACTACTAAAAATTCCTCGCTTTGTTATTCGATTTTTATTCCCAATAATAATTTATTTCTCGCGCTATTGCCTGATAATGTAATTGAATACTTTGGTTAACCGAAATCCTACTACTACTCAAAGCTTTAATATGTCATGTACACACACAACGGGATATGCATGCAATACGATATGATACATATTGGATCGATAAACAGAATTATATAAACATGTAATGTAAAATATGTAATGTAAAACATGTAATAGTACAGGATATTTTAAAATAAGCAAATAAGCAAAACATTGTTATATATGTAGAAAAATAAATTAGAGGAAAAAAATTCTTTCTTTTTTTTTTTTTTTAGTTGATTTTGATTTTAATGCAAATTATTTACATCAATATTTAATTTTTAATTTCTCTTTTTTCTTCTTCTTTCAATTACTTAAATCTTCACATTGCATAGAGTTTTGAAATGATGTCGAAAAGAATTCTTTTTTGATTTTAATGCAAATTATTTACATTAATTTTTAATTTTTAATTTCTCTTTTTTCTTCTTCTTTCAATTACTTAAATTTTTACGTAGAGTTTTGAAATGATGTTGAAAAGAATTCTTTTTTGATTTTAATGCAAATTATTTACATCAATGTTTAATTTTTAATTTCTTCTTTTTTCTTCTTCTTTCAATTACTTAAATC